AGCCAGCTGTCTTTTATAACTTAGGTGGGACTAGAATTCACAGTCTCCAGATTTACAGCCCCGTGCCTTAAACACTAATCCAAACTGGCTTATATATTTTCTAAAAAAATGTGCTGGACAAAAGGTAATCAAGAGATGGGGAGAAAACGGGTCTCTTCCAGAATTATTGGTACATGTCTAAAAATGTTATTCCCCTGGGGAGAGATTCCTCCTGCAACTACAAGTTAATTAATCCTTCCTCTCTCGGCTTTTTCTACAGTTCTCTTAGCAGCAGATCCAGCTATGGCGGTACCTAAACAAGACTGGAGGAGCTCAGAAAGAAATAAGCATGGTTAGATCTGGCTACGTAGTTGGATGGGAACCTAAAACCTTGAGCTAGATTAGGATGGTAGATACAAATATCATGGAAGAAACTAATGGTAAATTGCTTCCATACGTGTCCCCCCCCTCCCAAAGAGCTACATTGATGTGTCCATAAAGCCACCAAAACTCAAAGTTCATTCAGAAAATGGATCGTTTTATCTTGGAGGTAGAACCAATAGCAGCCGGAATACACCATACCAAAGAGTTGTTTCCTTTTCTTAAGCTTGCATGATCAAGGCAGTTCCCCGCCTTCTTCGCTTCTGGAAATCACTCTTTTCTTTAAAAAAATAAAATAAATAAAATCCTGATGGATTAGGAGCTACTCACCTTCTTCTCCCCAGGTGAACAGGTGTATAAAAAGGACTAAGCTGCAATCATAATAATGGCACCTGGTTTTTCTCATCAGATCCTTATCTTTTCTCAAGAATGTACCATACAACCCTCCCTGTTTTGCAGGAATGATTAGGGAACATTGTTGTATGCAGAAGACACACCTGCTCAACTGCCTTGAGTAACCGAGTCAAGAAAGAATCGAAAGATAAAGTTTATCCAAATGGATAACGGTTAAAAAAAATGTCTGCCATTTTCCAAACTAAATCTGTTTAATTTCCCTTTCAATTCAAAAAGAAAGAACTCTACTGTAGCCGAAAGCACTGGTTTATGAGTCCCAATCCAACAGTATTCACAATATTGGGGTTTTTTTCACCAAGTTTTTGTACTTGTGCCATCACTCTGCTGAACACCTAATTCCCACAGTATTGTCTTATATCTGAGTATATTTACCTATGTAGTATGGCTGTGTTACTATTACCCTTCTCAACTGTTCCACTATCTTCTGTTATAGATATCATTATTATTAGATACTATGATTATTACATTGTTGTTTTACATCAGTGGTTCTCAACCTTTCTAATGCTGCGACCCCATAATACAGTTCCCCATGTTGTGATGACCCCCAACCACTTATACATCACCGGGTGCCAGGGGCGTGGCCAAAGGGGAAAAAAATGGTGGACAGCCTTGTTTGGCGACCCCCGTGAAATGGTCGTTCGACCCCAAATGGGGTCCCGACCCACAGGTTGAGAACCACTGTTTTACATGTATACTGAGAGCTTATGCACCAAAGTGAAATTCCTTGTCTGACTACATTCTATTCTATTCTATTCTATTCTATTCTATTCTATTCTATTCTATTCTATTCTACTCTACTCTACTCTACTCTATAATCTACTCTACTCTACTCTATTAAGCTGAAGCAAAATCTGAAAGTAGCAAAGTTTTTCCAATTAGGGGTCACAACTGACCCAGACTTTTTTTTTTTAATTTTGAACAAGCATTGGCAAGGAGAGTGGCAGTTTGGGGTAGTGGTTAAAGCACCAGGCTAGATGTCCATGAGTTCTAATCCCACTTTGGGTACAGGCATGAAGCCAGCTGGATAACTTTGAATCATTCACTGAGTCTTAGGAAGCAGGTAAGGAGAAACTACTTCCGAAAATCTTGCCAAGAAAATTGCAGGGACTTGTTCAGGCAATTGCCAGGAGTCAACATTGACTCAAAGGCACACACACACACACACACACACACACACACACACAATTGTCATGGAGTACTAGCTAACCGTCTCTGGCTTCAAGCAGGTTTTCTTGACTGTCTGAACTCTTCCTGACTAGAGTAATGCAAAGTCATTAAAGGCATCAACTTAGAACTTACATCTCTTGTCCCAGGCCATGCAATCAGGGCACCAAATCATCTTTTAAGCCATCAATTACCCAAATTCTTGCAGAACCATATCAAGAGAGCTTGGTCAACTGCTGGGTTCCTTTAAGCAGCCTTCCCCAATTTATAGATACCTCACATTGCAACCTTCATCATTCCTAACAAGTGATGACGTTGCCATAAGATAAAGTACTGGTATCTGCTCTGACTCAAACCACAGTTTTAATACTCCACACATTTAATGGAGATTTATTTTAAACGTGTAAAATCATGCTTAATGACATAATCACAACTGAGTTTTGATGATCTAAGACCTTTCACCAACAGGGGCCAGAAGAAAGGACGTATACGATTTCCTGCCTTCTTGCCGCTCTTAGGTGAAAATTGAGAACAGACCTGGAAAAACAATCCAAAGGACCTGTTTAAAACACCAGATTTTCGAGGAAAAAGAAGCATGCAGATGCCCTGTCTAAGGATGCAGCTTTGCAATGAGGTTCATTAAGTAGGTACTAAGAAAAAAATGACATATGCCGTTCAATTAATTAGGAATTACTGTGCACAAAGTATTTTTTATGAGACATACTTATAAATCTGGGGGAAAGCCCAGATTCTATAACGATTTAGAGAAGCTTTTCACAGAGATTTTAGGACTTGTGGGCCTACATGTTCACCTTTTGCAGAACCCTCTGACATATAACAAGATACTGCTAGATACAGAGGATCTTCAATAGCTGATTATCCTTTCCTAACCAGAAACCAGACTAAATCAAAATCCTCAATGTGTGTTTCTCTTATTACTTGCAGACCTCAAGGTATTTGCTACCTTATTTGACAAACCCTCTTCCCCTTTCCTTTAAAAACCAGTGCTCCAGATCAAATTGTAAGCTAAATTACTTGAATCTCCATAATAACAGCCATAATAGGGCTGGCCTCATTTGAAATGAGCAGATTTTGTGAACCCGGTCACTGAGGATGGTAAACTCTCATTTAAAAGTCAGCATTATGAGGGAATCCAGCCAATAGTCAATATTCTGAACAGGCTTTTATTTGTAGCCATAATTAAAAGGATAGCATCAGAAAACAATGGCTAATTAAAATACAAAGAGCAAAAGAACATCAAAACAACTACACATCAACACAGATTTATAAGATCTGCCAAACTAGCCTTAAGGCTTGGGTCAGTGCTTTCCCATATTCATTTCTCCTAGACTAAAATTTTTGGCATTTTAAAGTAAAATTTCCTTTGAAATATACACACACAAATCTACAGCAGGTTATTTTTGATTAAGGAACACAATTAATTTGTTTCTGTTTGGAAACCACTTTTGGACATTGTGCTTGAAGTGGGGAAAAAATGAAACTCTGATTTTGCTGATTAGATAGGTTTGTTGTTATAGAAATGGCTAGTATATATTATTATATACAAATAAAAAGTTGAGGTTTTATGCCATTATTTTGCTGCACCAAATGAAGTCAGAAGTCAATGCCAGCCATAACCTCTTCAAGGACATTGCATTCCTGTCCACAACCTCCAGCCAGCATCGTGTTCTCGCTTGAGTGTTTGTGTGGTCTTCATCAAGCTCGTTTTTAGGAAATTTGGAGGAGTGACATCGTAAGCTCCTCCAAGATGGATGGGTATCTTTCTTTTGTGCATGGATAGTTTTGTCCTGCCAGTGGCACTCAAGAAAACTGACCTTGCTTTTTAGAAAATTATCAGTGCCTGCTTTGACAACGATTCAGATCCCAGGCAAAAACAGCATCTCTCTGGCAGCCTGTTTTATTTATTTATTTTTCAGGTTTCTGCATAAGTCCTCAAAAAGAATGCCATTGCAGAAATGATGGCACTTTTTCTTAGGCATACAGAGAAGTCTGAGAAACACTGGGCCACTGTAATGAATTACAGAGAGGCTATGTTTGCAGGAAGTCCAAAACATTTCTTCCTAATACTTTTTGAAGCACGGGCTGCCCAATAATTTGATGCATTCTCAAGTTACCCGCTATAAACTTTCTCTCCTACTTGGAGCCCCTGCAACAGAGAGGAAGGACTGATGAGTGACATTATCAGACAAAGCCGTGATGCCAGCAGGTGAAAATATCATCAGAGTGTGTTCCCTAGGTATTAATAGTTGGAGACCATCCAAGTTGGCTCTGTTAAGGAATAAACACAGAATTACTTAACCCTGTATAGGGATCTCTTTGAAATCCCTTTGTTTTCTTTTCATTTCAAGTAGTAACAGGTTTAAATTACGTAGACATATTAACTTGTTGGGAGAAAAGAGACTGAATTCACACAGCAAGGTTGTAAGACATGGTATGGATAGATGCCATTTAGCGAATAAGTCAGGCCAGTGATTGTAAGCCCTGGATTCGGTTCGTCTATCATGCTAAATCATATGCAATGGTTTGTAAGACACAATTGCCTGGTTTTATGCAACGTGCTAAATAAATTTTTAAAAGCATATCAGGTCTGAGCATGCTATACAACTAGTCCTCACCTCAGGACTACAGTTGAGCCCAACTTTTCTGCTGCTAAGTGAGTTTTTCTTTGAAGTGAGTTTTTGCCCCATTTTACGACCTTTCTTGTCACAGTTTTTAAGTGAATCATTGCCATTGTTAAGCTTGTAACAGGGTTGTTAAGTGAATCTGGCTTCTCCACTGACTTTGCTTATTGCAAAAGGTGATCCCGTGATCCCGGGACACTACAACCGTCATAAATAAGAGTCATTTGCCAAGCATCTGAATATTGGTCATGTGATGCCAGGGATGCTGCAACGGTTGTAAGTGTGAAAAATGGTCATAAATCACTTTTTCAGTGCCCTTGCAACTTCAAATGGTCACTCCATGAATTGTTATAAGTCAAGAACTACCTGTATTAATTTCCTTCTCCGCCACCCAATCATTCTCACACACATATAACTTACTGTATCTGCATGAAGCAGCATGCAGGCTTCAGCAAATTCTGCCAGATCCCAAGAATCGGGCACCAAGAGTCACTGCAACTCAAGGATGAGTTCTGGGAAAAGAATAAAAGAAAAAAAAACTTGTTAATGATAGGTTAAGGAAAATGTGCTCAGGAAGTAGATTTGATCACTACAAAGCAGTGGAAACTCTTGATCCGGCTGCACCAATTCAGAACATAGCTAAGATTTCACACCAAGAGGTAAGTCTCTTCTCAACAGGCTAATTATTTGCACGAATGGGATATTTTTAGGAGGGAGATATTCTTTAGGACCTACCATTGCCAGGTGGAAAGAGTTAGAATCCAGACAACAATTTGAGTAGTATAGGGAGAAGAATTAAATTTCCCTTAAGAGCAAAAAAAAATAGCCAATTTAGCATCAGTGATGGTTTCATTGCAGAAGAAAAAGACTAGAATTGGTCTCATTTGCATTGGGACCTTCCTTCATCCTCCAGATGCTCAGAGATAAAATCCTACTTTGTGGATGCAACAGAAGTAGGTTTGATCAAAGAGTGGCACAAAACTAAACTATCAGTTTCACATCTGACGAGAAAGCTAAACCCAGTCTCCCAACCACCCCCAGTCCAAATTCGTCACTTTCCACAAATTGATACCATGGTAACAATTTGGATCTACTTTTAACATGGATTTGTGTGTCGTGAACGGAATCTTCGAACACAAATTGGATAGGTAATTCTTCATTCAGTAACAGTTAAGGTTTACATATTCTGGAAGCCGTAATATCTGTGCATCAGGTGGAAAACACCAGGACTGGGATAATTTGAGAAGTCAGGCATGGATTTAGCAATGTTAAGCAATCGTTAGCTAAAGCTATTGTTAACTAGCTATTGTTAACTAAGTTTTAGTTTTAACTCAAATGGATGACTCACCTGAGAGGAACAAGATATAACATTCCTGAGATTAAAAAAAAGGACTCTTCAGTTCTGCAGTCCAGCCCCTAAACTACGCCTTCACATTAGAACTACACCAACTCTAAGAACTTTACCTCCATTAAGTTATTTGTGTAAGATGCAGACAAAATCCAGGCCATTAGCACTAGCAATCTCTAACAAACAAACATGCCCCAAGGGGGGTTTATTAGGGAAAGCTTATAAGCTATTAGCAATTTGGCAGAGCTAGAAGCAGCAATTATTCCCATATCTCTCACCAAGAAAGCAAATTCAGGTGACAATCAACATCTGCCTACACACGGTGCTTGAAATTAACACAAAGTGGCACATCTACACAACTGAAAGTCTGTTCCCAGAGAACTGGAATTTTGTGTCCTGTTCTAAATTACGTAAATCTGTTGTGCCAACTGACCGTGGATATATTTATTTTGGCTTTAAGAGTCCTGGCTGGAGTGGGCTAAGGACAAAGAGCAACTATGTGTGGAACTGAAGCCCAGGAAATATTACTCAACATTTATTATAGTTATTTGGAATCCAACAACCTTCGCTTCTTATTAGCAGTAATTAGTAATATGTACTAATTGTATATATTGTACATATAATGTAATATGATATGCTCTTATATCTAAGCACATGCCAGACAAAGCAACAACTTTACAATAAATCCAACATCAACAACAAATAGTATAATACAATTTAAAACACTAGTCAACACTGGGTAACCTGTATCAAGTGAACAAAACATGGGGGGGGGAATGGGAATTTTGGTGGAGATTCGATTAGAATTCTTCCTATATTGGTCAAACATAATGCCTTTGCCAAGGATCCTCAGAAGAAACCACAAAAAGGAGTGGTCACACGTAGCTCTTGAGTTTTCAGTTGCCTACATGTGGTCTTTGTGCAGACCATGATTTCCTTCATGAAAATTTCCTTCATGGAAGGAAACTTCCTTCATGGGAGGAAATTTCATCATGCAATTTCCTTCATGAGAGTAAACTGAGCTTTTAAGAGAAATGCAGTCAATATCCAACACCACTTTTACTGGTCCTTCTGAATTGGAGCCTATCTCACCCAACCCATGCCATTATAATTCAGTCCTTCAAGCCAAGACAAAAATTCCAGAGAATAAAGGATATTTCCCCAGCTTTTATTTTAGCTCACAGAATCATACATTTCCCCATTCACATGTTGCTAGGGATGTTTGGACTACAAGTCCCAAGATTCTATTGACTACGCTGGTGGAGATTCCTGGAAGTTGCCCCAATAAATAGAACATAGAATATAGAATAACAGAGTTTGAAGGGACCTTGGAGGTCTTCTAGTCCAACCCCCTGTTCAAGCAGGAGACCCTATACCATTTCAGATAAGTGGCTGTCCAGTCTCTTCTTAAAAAGAGAAGTTGTGGATGCTTCCACAACTTCTGAAGGCAAGCCATTCCACTTTTGTTTTCACTGGGAGGAAATTTCTCCTTAGTTCTAGGCTGCAATTTCCTTGATTAGTTTCCATCCATTGTTCCTTATCTTGCCTTCTGGTACCTATTTGGTACCTCTCATCTTTGTGGCAGCCCCTCCAATATTGGAACAGTGCTATCATGTCTTCCCTAATTCTTCTTTTCATTAGACTAAGACATACTGAATTCCTGAAACCGTTCTTCTAACAAAAGTTTTAGCCTTTCCAGCCCACTAATCATCCTTGTTGCTCTTCTCGGTACTCTTATATCTGGGAAGAGAACAGGTTCAATCGATCCTGCCTCTTTTCAATATATGCACCTTACAAAGACTTGTTGACTACTGCTTCCATTCTTCGTAAGATTTAAAACCTCAATAACATCTGCAGGTGAAAAGCAAAAATGTTTCTAATTTTTGGTTCTAAAATAAAAGGGGGAAATACCCTCCAGGCACCCAACTGGAATGCTAAGTTCCAAGATCGTATTTTTTTTAAAAAAGTACTGTTAAGAAGAAGAGATTTATGAGCATTCCTGTGAGGGAAGAGGGTTATTTACTTACACAAAGGCAAGATAAAGTAGCCAAAGCTCTCCTTTTTTTCAGGATAGTCCAGAAACAGGTCGATGAAGAGCATGCAAACTGAGACACAGACTGACATCCAACAGAGTGTAGAAGGAGAAACACCAGATTTTGATGTACCCACAAAGAAGTGTGCATGTATACACACCCATACAGTATGTGGTGTGGGGGCGTGCACACATACACACATGGTTTCCTTTTACCAGCTTTTTCTCTGCTACCTAAGCAACAAGTCTCTTGGGAAGTTCAGATGGAGACTAAGCAGCAGAAGCAGATTAAATCCTAAGCAACAAGGATCCTGCTTTTCGTGTTAATGTCCTGCACAATTAGAAGAAATGGTAAAAAGCAGAGAAAAGGATACAAAACGCAAACGGGTGCAACCATTAAAAGAGGTGCTTTAAAAACAAATATTTCACTTAACCAGACTTTTTTTTTCCTCCACAGCCCCCTACAAAGCAAACCTTTCTGAAACTAACAGAAGGAGGAGAAGCAGAGAAAGCAAGAAAGTTAAGCTAAAACTAAAAATTAACTTAAACTAAATGGTTCTCTTTTTTTGGACAGGAACCCTTAGAAGAAGTGAAATCTTGTTTATTTTGAGTCTACGGTGAACTGCATATTACTTCCTCTTTTACTGCTGGCTAATTTTCAATCAACACAACATCAAAGGAAGGAGGATTGGAAGGCTGTTTAAAAAAAAATTAGCATTTTGGTACAACTGAGATGGAGGAGACCCAGGGTAATCTAATGGCTGGGAAACCCTATTTTTTAAAAAAGGCGCAGTATAAATGCAGGGAACTCCAATAACCCCAGTCAATAAATACAGAAGACTCAGTTCTTAAAACATTCACTCATTCAATCTCTTGCACAAGAATCAAACAACAAGAAAGAACACAACCAGAATAGCCACAACCGGGTCAGAGCGAAACAAATATCCCAGCAGAAAGCAATTGTGGCTTATTGTGAATTGTGGCCCAAACAATTCTCTTTTAGTATAGACAGAGGAGAGAGCCAGAGTTAGAACAACACTGACGGCCAGTCTCCCTTGAGCAGCTGGGAGTCCAATCTTCATTAGGACCACTTTGTGAAGAAAAGTCTTAATCCCTCTTTTTCCAGATTTTATCCATAATTCCATCTCTGCAAGCAACCGCAGAGCTTAGAAAAAGAGTTTCCAATGGCCCCAATGGAGATGTGTTTACTTAAGGCAAAGAGAAGCTCAAGGTATGGGCTTAACGGTAAAACCACACCTGAGGAGCAAAGAGGATCCTTTTTACCCAGCATGAAAAAAAAAAATTAAGAACTAAATCTTTACTGTAATATGTAACAGGACTCTCACTAAGCTAATGGACCTTTTAGGATGAATAAGGAAAAGGAATACTCACCACAGGTAGACTTAACACCCCAGTGTTAAGAGGCACCCAGTGAGATTTGATATGCCTTGTGTGTGTGTGCCTGCTTAGCACACAAAGAGACTGTCTTAGTTCAAAGGTCAAATTCGCATTTTTGTCACACGCTATTATGTGCTATTTTCACAACATATGTTGAAGGTACAGTGGTGCACTGTGTAAGGACACTGCTGCTTCTCCGTCTTCTAAGATAACTTTTGGAAAGGTAAATTTAGGAACTGGTCCAAACGAACATTCCACACTGCATATACCGAATACACAAAATGCCAATGCAGAATTTGCAGCAAACCAGTGTTTTGCTACAGAGATTGCCCTAAATTGTGCTTCCCTTTGCAAACTGGGGAGAAGGGCATCGCGTGCCCAGAATCCATGCTGGCATCAACTGCCTATCTCCCAAAATTAGACTCCTTCCACTCAAAGACAGCCAAGCATTTCTCATGAAAGTTTCAGGTCCTTCCAATTTGAGGAGAGATAAATTGCTCAAGGGAAGAGAGAGAGACCATAAGGAATGTATCCTTGATTCTGCTCCTCTTGATTAAAAACAGTATTCCTTTATTCTGGAAACAAAAACAATAGACTTTCATTCTCCACAAAAGATGTCCATCTTTGGCTGTTGTATCGTACTCAATTCCTCCATCAAAGGAAATCAAATGCAACGAAATAAACAAAGTTAAATCAGCAGCAAGAAGGATACTGCAAGTTAAGCTGCCTTCTAC